GCACGTCGTGCCCGCATTAGATTATCAATGCGGATGGAGAGCTCAATGAACTGTTCAAGGGTCCTCCCCTCATCACGGCAGGCGAGCTCTGACTGTAGCTCGCCCGTGAGTCCCTTGCGATACAGCAGTTTAAGTGGTTCGTCCTCCCATCCTGACTGTGCTGCGAGAGTGCGGAATGAGAGAGCATAATCCGCAGCCGTGCTTCGTCCCTGTCGCAGAGCGAGTAACTGTTCGCCAGGCTCCTTTCCGCCCGCTGAATGCTCGAAAACCTCGCGGAAACGTCTCAGAAAGCAGTCAAATGATGGAAATGACAGCCGTCTCCCTTCCCAAGCAGCAGTGGCCCAGTCCAGAGCTCGTCCAGTTAACAGAGAGCAAACAAATGAAACCCGACTATCGTCGGTGGGGTAGAACTGCGGTTGTTGATTTACAAACATGGAGCATTGTAATAGAAAGCCCTTACATCTTTCCGGTGAGCCGTCAAACTTCTAAAGCCAGACGTGGGCTGGTCGACGAGTGACTGGGTCCCAGGTACGGGGTGTATGGGAAATGTAGTCCATGGACGTTAGTACTCGGGAGAGGGTGCCCTCCGGAGGCCGTCGGAGAGAGCCACAGAGGCCTGATTCGTGACAGATGGTATATGCTTCAGGTTTTTTTTACTTTATTTCCTAAAAATTGTATTTAGCTGTGCAATTTTATATCAAACTGCACTACCTATGATCCTGAAGAGAAATGCACTGATTAGAAGACAGAAGCAAACAAATCATGCCAATGACGCACTGCAATCAAGTAATCGGTGTTATTTTACTATTATTCATATAATAATTTGAATGACCGTTTATTTTATTATAATTCCAGTTTTAATTTAAATTTTAAAGTTTTAGTAATTTTGTTGTGTCTTTGTGATCTTTTAAAATTATTTTTTGAGTATGTTTTTAGCATTATTTTAGTTATTTTTAGTGTTTTATTTATTTTTTTTTTATTTAAGTTTAAGTTTTTCGTCTAATATTTGTTTTTGTTTTTTTATTATACTCCAGCTGCATTTCATTTACTGAAAATTATTTTAAATAGTTTTATAGTTAGTTAACAATGACAGTTACAGAATATAAGCAAGTACTTATTTTGTATACTACTACATATGTAATTTTTGTTTCTAT